GTGTGAGAGAGGGAGAAAGAGATAGCTAGAGAAAGAGAGAGAGAGAGAGAGAATGTGTGAGAGAGGGAGAAAGATATAGCGAGAGATAGAGAGAGAGAATGTGTGAGAGAGGGAGAAAGATATAGCGAGAGATAGAGAGAGAGAGAGAGAATGTGTGAGAGAGGGAGAAAGAGATAGCGAGAGAAAGAGAGAGAAAGAGCATAGAGACAAAATCCAGATATTGATATATGTCCCGGCCAAAATTATTCCTTTAGATTGTCACCACTCAAATTGACAAATTGTGCACATAAATTTGTAACAACCGTGGAACTAGAAATTAAAATAAAAATATCCGTGACGTATGACTATGGATCTATCAGGTACTGGTATATAAATCTATATCTTATGACGCAAAACACTATAGGTACATGGGCGCCCACAGGGGGGGAGAGGGCACTTGCCCCCCACCCTTGGATTGATTATATAAACAATTTTTAGACAAAAAATGTATTAAAGTAAAGAGAAAATAAAGAGAAAATAACTAAGCTGATGTCCTGTCCGTTCGTTCACCATACAAATACGCTACAGTAAATTAAAACTACATTGAAACATTTTTAAAAAATTCCCCCCCCCCCAGAAAGTTAATCAATTTTTTGCCCCCCCCCCCTACCCCTTAGAAAGTTTTCTGCGGGCGCCCATGTATAGGTATAGAGTTAGTTTTATTTTATGGTGGTGGTATTCTCAGCTGTTTGATTTTTCCTGCTCATTGTCAAACAAGTTTAAATCAAACAAGGAAAGAAAAACACATGCTGACAATTGAACTTACGTTTCACTTTAAATTTAAAAAAAAAAAAGAAGAAAAGAAAAGTCTTCTCTCCCTTTTAAGGACATGGAAAAGTTCTTACGGAGTTTTACGGAGTTTTACGGACAGCGTAGTATAGTGACTATTTTTGGCGGACTGTCCCGTAAACTTTATACGGACAGCTGGCAACCCTCCACTCTGTCCGTGTATAAATATATCCGCTGCGTCCGTGTAATGTGAATATGGTGAAGAAAAAACATCATCCGTTGGCCCTTGTATGGCGCGCATGACAAGGGAATTCCCCGGCCTGAAGTGTGTCGTGGACCTGCATTGCGAGTCATATTTAGAACAGCAGTTTTGACCTATCAGTGTACCGCCTCCTACCGAGAAACCCCTGTACTCTTAGGACGGTGTTTGTACAATTTTTAGCCCCCATATTTTTTGCCTGATGTACTATCTATTAATGTTCATTTTGAAATCAGTCTTGTACCAAATATGAAATACAGTTGTATCAGTTGCGTATGTTTTGTGGGGCTTTGGGATAAATATATGGAGATTTAACCTGGAAACAACCAGTTGGGATAATTCATGTAATTAACTCATATAATTCATTAAATAAAATAACGATCTATCTATTCCATTTTAACAGTGTTTCTTTCAGAAATTTCTCGGGGAGGGGGTGGGCACTGCAGATTTTTCGGGGGGGGGG